TGCATTAATTTGAGGTGTTTCTAATGTCATGTCAGGGAATATTTGCACACACTGGGTCCTGTAAGATGCAATCTAATGCGACGTCACTAATTACAGCCTCGAAAATCTCCACTGAGTTAAATCAAAATATCTCGCTCTGGCAGTGTCGGCCAAAAGGAGCGTATTAGGATTCACAAAGGCTGGATTTATTATTTATTGGAGGCCTGTTGTACTGGATTGCATTACTGCATATAGTTGCACCCTAATTAACCTCTTTCTCAGAGTACAGGGACGGTTGCCTTTGACATGGGCTAATGCACAGCAGACAGTTCCCCAATTCTTATCTCTGCTTCTTAACTTCATTGTTTAAAAGAAAGAAAAGTAAGTGTATGAACCTTCATGAATGTTGTTTATTAAGTGCACTTCATCTCTTACCATAATTGCAGGGATTGTTATCTATTGAGCAACAACAATGGTACGTGAGCTTGTCTTTCTCGTCTATAATGCAGTTAAAGTGACAGGTTTAGCAGAATAGGCAGTCTGGTTTCAAAATGGTAAACTCCACTATGCCCAAGTGTGCAGTGTTATCTGTAAAGCATGTACCGTTGTGTTTCATATATATTCACACATGGACAAAAAGTAGTACTTAATTCATCTTTTGAGATTATATTCTTTCTTCCGTAACGTCATTGTCATGAATATTGTTTATGAGTTTGTTGCAGCAGTTTTCCTTTTAGGATCACTGCGCCGTCCCCATTTGTCAGTTCTTAAACCACTCATCCTGTTTTTCCATTCGGATTCAAACTCCTTATCCTGAACCGACCCATTTTTTCACATCACCCTTTCATGCACCTTGTCCGTCTGTGTATTGTGACATTGAGAAACCCCCCCCCCCCACAAGACTAAGAGAGGATCTGGCCCTTCAGACCTTGAGGCCATGCTCCAATAACTGCATGTAAGTCGGTTTATTCGGATCCCTCCACTACCAGATGCTTGGCTGTCCTTTCCCTGAGCTGAGAGGTCGTCACTCCACACGGTCGTGACTGCTCCAGGCTTCCCAGCTGAGAAATAACCTTCCCACTTGAGGCAGAGCAGATAATGTAACACTCAGTCTGTCAGAGGAATCCCATCCTGCATATCACAAGTACCTCTTTTCACTGAAAGTTTTCACAACTCTACTGAGAGTGAACTTTTTTTTTTTGTAAAAGTTACCTCTCTTTCCTCAGCTTTTTATGTATATTTCAAGTTACTCATTGGATATGTATACTGTGGTGACCAGTTTATTAGGAACAGCCAGCTGAAACTAATGCAGCGTAATAATCAGAGCTGCAGTGAATCCTCACCATCATCACAGGTTTACTTTTCATTTGGACCTATTGTCAAATAGTGTTGATTTAACTCTGTAGCTATTTTTGAAATACATGTTTGTTTTGCAGCTGTGCCTAATAAAGCAGTATCTGGAAGTGTATATAAGGCAGGGTCATGCTGTAGTGATAATAATTTTTTTTTCTGTGTTTGTAGGATGTTAAATAAATGAGATGAACCCAGTGACAGGTCAGTGTACATGTACAAAATCCACTCATTTAAATAGGAATGTTCTGTTTTGTATTGTATCGTGTCTAGTCCTGACGCAGTATAAAATCCAACCACACAACTATGTCACCTTACTAGTGACACATGGTTTTGCTTGCTCTACAGGATCACAATCGAGATTACAATCAGCTCGTTTCCATACAGCGAAAATTCACCTCATAAAGGAGTAAAGCCCGTTCTTGTTGTTGTGATATCCGACACTGTAGTATGACACATTACCTTCAGATGTCGAAACAATTTTATACCCTCATGGACTCTTTCATAGATTTTACTCCTGTCTGCTCTGTATATACAGGCATGGATAGCATCTGTCCTCTAACTTGGCTCAGGTTTGCAAATTCTGCATCCGAATATAGAGGAGTCAGTGTTGTATGGCCTGCCTCCAAAGGATTCATGAATAAAATGATTTCCAAAACACACTTGATCAAACTGAAACTGTGGCTCACTCCACTGTAATGCTACATTTTGTCCACTAGAGAGCAATGCAGGACATGAAGCACTTACCCTCCAATTTATTCTAGTTTACAGGGAAAAAAAAAAAGAAAAAGAAAAAGAAAAATTAAATAAAAATGAAGCAGATTGCCACCCTCTGTTCTCCAGCTACTGCCCAGTTATTTTGTGTTGGAGCTGTGTTTCCTGTCCAGTTCACTTTCATGTAGTACTGTCAGGTGCAAACTAGACTTCCAGACACTCATTTATGTGTTCAGTTTGTTCATTTCTAATACAGAAACTTACATCAAATCATTGCTGCGGGTTCAAGTTTAATCGTCCAACCATGTACAAACCAGATTCCTTCTGCTTCTGTGACTAAACACTTCTCTACTCGCCCTCATTTCTTTTTGTTTGCGGTCTCCTTCTGCTTTTGACTTTTATCAAAATGTGCAACTTCTAACAACCTTTTTTCCCCCTCTTATTCTTTTCTCGCACAGAACAGACACAGACACACACCATGACCACCGCAACTCTCCACAGGAGAGCTCTGCCATGCTGCATAGATTGGGTGTCCCAGGGTGATTAACTATTAATATGAAGCTCAGGTAACACACCTGATATCTGGGAGGGGGAGAGGAGGAGGAGGGAGAGGGAGGGGGCAGGCAGAAAGACAATAGCGTTGGAAGAGAGAGAGAGAGAAAGAGAGAGGGAGAAAAGAGAGAGTGAAACAGAGAGAAATGGTCCACAGGGGCAAAAGAGACACATGATGAGCGAGATTGAAGGCAGTTAATAGACTAATGGCGAGCGAGCGGTCGCACATGCCTCGAATCCCCTCCTGGATTGGAGGGCCGAGTGGACACTCGGGCCTCAGCAGCCAATACCCGAGTGGCGTATTGTGATGACTCAGGACATAGCTGAGGAAATGGGATGGAGAGCGCAGTGAATGTATCGACAGAGATGAGCAGAGTGTGTGTGTGTGTGGAGGGCAGATGCATACAACAAACGGGTCACTGTTAGAGAAGAAGCATCCATTTGTCTTTAACTGCACACATCATGGCCCTGCTCTGAAATGACCCCAGTCTACCCCCCCCCCCCCCCCGAAAAAAAAATTACTTTGCATTCCCCTCTGTTTAAGCGTGTTTACCCCTGTTGTGTGTTTACCATGTAAACAGACCTGCTTCTTTGTAAGACAGCTGAGTTCCACTGTCAGCATAATTTACAATGAACTCACCCCTCTAATTCTTTACCTCCACCTCTTTTCTACCTGATAAGCATCTGTCCTTTGTTGACTGTTTGCAGATAAGGAATTGAGCTTCTTTTTAGTGCATGTTTGTGATCCTACTTGTTGAGATTTGTTTCGTTGTAAAGCATTTTTAACCTGGTTTGAGAAAGGTGCCATAAAGTTATTATTATTACATGGTTTAACTGCTAAATTTAAGCATCAACTGCCAAACTTTACTTTGCTAGAAACACACACAAAAGGTGAGCAGTTGAAATAGAGAGATAAACCCATTAGAAAGCTATAATGTAATGTTTAATTAACATCAGTGTATAAGCTTAAAGACAGTGAGAACATTTTACACGCTTTTCTCATCTGGATTATTGTAACATGTCTTTTTACCTTCCTTTCAAAAAAACCTGTTGATTGACTCGTCAGCAGTCTGCTGTCTGGCTTTTTAAAACAACCAAGAGATGCAATCACATCACCTCTGTTTCACCCTTGTTACACTGCCTCCCAGTGTGTTTCAGGATAGATTTTAAGATTTTACGGATCACCCAGTTAAATTTTTGAAGTACCCTATGCACCAGTACACACTTTAAGATCCTGAGAGTTCTCTGGTCTGTTTTGATGGCCTGACTGAAAACTGAAGGATGTTTGCAGGCAAAGCCCTGAGGCTGTGGAGCAATCTGCCCTATAAAATCAGGTTAAGACATACCTGAGACATACTTTTACTTAAAGGCCTTTACTGATTTTATACCACCTTTTATTTCATTCATTCAATTCTTCTACCTCTTTAACTTTGCATTGATTTTATACACCTTGTTGCGCTTTAATGTCTTTAATTCTGATGATTTCTTGACTTGTCTCTTGTGTTTTGCTGCCCTGTGAAACACTTTGTAACCTGGGTTTTTAACCCCATTCAGGACTTTCATGTTGCCATATGTAGAAGGTCTTTTGGGGTCCATTGAACCCCAAGGAAGAATATATGCAAAACATTTGTTGGTATTCATTATAGACTTTTATACTATGTTAAATATGTTTTCCGATAAGTTGACATATTTTTGGTTCCAAATGCATTACAAATGTCCTTCTTTTTATATTAAAAGATATCCTCAAAAAAAAAAAAAAACAATATCTGCCACCTAAACCAAATGGCCTGGGGTTCAAAAGACCCCAAAAGAGTCCTGAATAAGGTTAAAAGTGCTTAGTAAATAATAATACTAATAATAAAAATTATTATTATTATCATCTGTGATGTCATTTAAAAAAAAAATTCTTCAACTGTCTTTTCAACCTTTTGACATTTATTCTACCTCTTTAACTTTGTGTCGATTTCATACACCTTGTTGTGTTTTTATCTGTCTTTAATTCTGACTTGTCTCTTCTATTTTTCTTCTCTGTGAAAAACTTTGTAACCTGGATTCTAAAAGGGCTCAATACATTCTTACTATATCCAGTCACTATGTAGCCAATACAACTCCAAACTCCTTGAAAAAGTCGATCGTAATCTCAGAGCCTTGCCCAACTATCGGTGTGATCCATGTGATATGACGTCAGACAGGTAAAGGTGAGTCAAACTAACCTTTATGGCGGTAAGAACACAGATGGAGTCACCTGTATCTGAGGTGAACTACCTGTATGAGCCGCTCCACTGCTGTGCGTGGACTCCAGCAGCCAGTGTGTCGGTTTTTTTCCTCCTTGCTGCCACTCCCTTCCTTTCCATCTTGCAACATAGTCCCGCCTTTCAGCACCCTGTGAAAGGGACTCCGACTCTAATGCTCCGTCCGCTCGTATTCGGTTCCCGGGGACCCATTTTACTTTACAGGCACTTTTTCTAAGTCCTGGGCCCTTTATTTTGTGTTCTGTCTCCCTCCCCCCCGACAAGTTAAATTCTGCCAGGACTACAAGCAGATTACTTAAACAGAGCTACATACAAATCTCAAGGTAAGGCCAACTAAGTGCGTGTTACAACAGGTGTACCTTGAACTCAGCCCGGATAACTCGGCGAAACTGCACTTTTCCGTCTTGTTTTTACGGCGTGTGATTTCGTACAGTCAGTTGATAGTGTACAAGTTGACAGGGAGGATTTTAGGCGTTATTTGGCTGTTGTTTCAGTTTAGTGAATGCAGGTGCGACAGTCGAAACCATCCCTCTCCCCCCCCTCCCCCCTTCAGCTGCAGAGACGCAGGTGTAGCGAGGTTACCGTGGTGCGTTCACGATCCTTTCGCTACCGAATATGTCACCCGGGGCGATTACAGAGTTGTGATGTATTTGTGGATTTATTTTAGGTTTGATTTTCTCTTCTGTCGGGTTTTTGTGTCCGTCTTAAATATATTTTATGAGGGGGAAGTTTTACTAAGGCTAATTGTACATAGCATTTCTTGTTTGAAAAAAAGAGGAAATATTGTTCTCTGGAGTGTCTGAACGACCTTCAGGTTGTATTTGTTTGACCCTTCCTTTTCTATTTTTTTTTTTTTTAGCTACATCAGCCATCTTGCCAAGCTGCACTGCCAGTTTGAGTTACTTATCAGACTGATATTTATACACAACACTTAATTGTTCCATTACAACTGTTGGGAGGTTACAGTAGGTTGTCCTTTGTGACCTGAAAGCAACAACTCCAAATCTGGTATGGCCGGAAAACACGGTTTTATTGTTTATTTTTTACCTGGTCAGACATGAGAGTACCATCTGATCAAACATGTTACACCAGCAGGTGGAAATCAATCACATGATGTTTAAAAAAAAAAAAAAAAAAAAGAATGGCCAGAGGTGACTGCATATCTTCCTTTCAGATATGCAAGTCACTGCTAAGCATGCCACCATCTGACTTCCTGACTTGGATGGTGATTGAGATTAATTCTATCCTTTAGAAATTTCTAGTGGCATTGCTTTACCTCTCAGACTGTGTTTGTGTCCTTAGGTGTGCCTTTACCCAAAGCTAACCCGTATTTTAAGGGATCAAAGGATAAACCCACCTAGATTGAGACATCCTGCCGCACTTGAGAAACTGTTTACCTGCGCGTTAAGACTGTTAAATATTCTTTAAAGCACACATGAAGGCATCTCTAGCTGTGCTTTGCTGTTCTGTTGTTTGCGATACATTATATTCATGGGATGCTGATGATGGTTACTGGAATTTTACTGGTAGTGACTGCACTCCCTCAGTCTCTTTCTTTATTTGTTTATTTGGCGTAACAACTATTAACTCTTTGAAAGATGGAGCCTGTCGGACCTGTTCTTGTGTGTCAAAGGCCTAAACATTACGAAAGCAAAGAAGTAAGTGTCAGTCAGCAGTTAGTAGAAAAAAATGTCAAAGGTGAGGGGGAAAATAATGTATAAGAGTTAAACAGAATTTTTAATTTATCTGTGGGCTGTAGAATTACATGGAAAAGAGCAACGGACTATTCATGGGCGTGAGAGGATTCATAATGCTGACGGCCATGTAGTTCATTTTGCAATGATTTTCCCTTTGCCTATATGTAGAGGCGAGTAATCTTCCCAGACAATGTTAACAGTTGGCTTTGTCTATAGCCAATGCATCCTTTCTGTCATTTGCTAATGAAGCATTAAGAGATGTGGGCCTGTGGAGAGACCATGTTGTCATTATAAACAGCATCTCTTGTGCTTTGGCATGGGAAAGTCAAGTGTTTTTTTTTCCACTTACATTTTGTTTTCACCAAAATTTGGCTCTTGACCTTAACTTAACTTATCGGTGAAGTGCTCTGGTGCCCCCTTTCATCTTAGAGTTAAGAGTACAAAGTGCTATGTGCCGCATAATTGTCGTTAACCATTTGTAGAGTTGACCTGATGTATATTTTCACACATACATGCCTTGAGATATTTTTGCTGCTTTAGTTGATATGCAGCCATTAGGCCCAGCTATGTGCTGGCATGTTGGATTCTATTATCAGGACTTTACTTTTGATATGATAAAAATTTCCTGCTGGAGTTAATGATTTCATCACGCCATACAGCTTTTGGCAGGTTACAAATCTGTCTTCAATCTGTGAGCTTTGCAGTACGACTTCAAAGCTGACATGATCTGTGTCTAAACCCATTTCATCCCCACAGTATTGGTCCTTCTTCTTCTCTCTCTCTCTTTTTTTTTTTAATTCAAGTGTTACTCCTCTAAAGTAGCCAGTCTTGCCCTTCAAGGGCCCCAGTCGGGTTCTTTCCACAGCAAACAAACGTAAGATCAGTTTATCTCGCTCCACTTGAAAGATATGAGGCAAAATAAATAGCTCGGGCTGACTGGTGTTTGACTTAATATCAGTCCTTGGACGTCACATCTCCCCTCTCAACAGGGTGCACTGAGCTAATGAACCCCTACTGTGGAACCAGCAAGGCTGCTCCTCCCGCTGAGCTAAATCAAGAAAATGTTAGTCTAGATTAGGGTATTAGAGAGTATTAATCACTGTGTAAATACCATCTTGTGCCACTGAATGGCTGAAAATTCTTCCTGCCGAAGCTGTAATTGACTTGATTTTCAGTAATACTCAACAGAAAGCTGTAATGCAGGCCAATTAATTTAAGATGATTACAGCGTTATGGTTTATAATTTTTGACATTTTGTTTGTTGAAGCCAACATCGTGGTTGGCTACACAAAAACTGCCAATTATGTTGTTGTTTTTTTCACTTCTGTTCACATTATTTTGCTTTTAAGCTAAAGAAAAGATAATTTGGCAGAGAACACAGGGTTTTGTGTAGTTCACTGGTCTGCGAGAACTACTTTTACATTTTCAAGTCTGTGCCTCACTTTAAAATGTGGCATTGATGGAATTACATGCAGTTTTTAGAGATTTAACTGTGGGTTTAAAGCAGGCTATTATGGTAAAAATCAATATCATAGTACTAATAGCACATGACCTATGGCACAGTGCAGCACATGCTTTTATAATCATATGAAAAGAATCAGATTAATGTTTAGCGCGATGAACCGTGTTGTACAGCTAGACATTACATCAGAAAAAAAATATTAGAAATGTATCTTGACGATTTTGTCTTTCTCGTAACAGTGTTTGTGTGTCAGTGTTAATGTATTCAGCTGAAATGTAAACCAGTAGTGATCTAGATGTGGTGTGCGATCAGACGGAAACATTACTTAACAATTATATTCTACAATAATTTTCCACATTTTTATCACTTAAGGGCATTTTACTTGATAAGATAAATGATATCACAAGCCAGTATCATCATTGCACTGATGTATGTCCCAGCTCTCACCTGCTGACCAATATATTTTACACCACTGGAAAAAATGCACTTTTGTGCCCTTTTCGTCTTTCTTTTGTCTTCACGCAGATCATCCTGTCATTTCGTATTCTTTAATTCTTTTAATCCAGATAATTTCCTCAGCTGTCCCTCTGCGTTGGGTAACTAGACTCTTTTGTTAGTAACCTAAGTCTTGACGCATCGCAGTCGTCAGTAGACAGTGCCTGGTTTCTATAGTTACCGTCAACAGTCTGGGCTGAGAAGTGTTTGTAACGATATACTCAGGACAGTGCTAAACAAAATGGTGGCCACCTTGAGTCCTTCTGCTACCAGGCCCCAGCTGTTTGCAGAGAGAAACTCCATACTGTGGACAAACAGGTGGCTCATATACATTATAAGCCTTTTTAAAGGCCATCAGTGATGGTCAGCAGAAACAATATGGGCCGTGCCATTGATATGCATTCAAGCCTTATGTTTATGTAATCAAGAGATATTCCTCATCCAGGGATAAAACTTAATGCTAGAGATCTCTTGTAAGGCTGAGAGAAGGAAACAACTTTTTACTTTCAGTGGTTGAGGACAGCACACACTGAGGGAGAGGCAGGGTGTGCTCTGACAGGTTACATGAAGATGTAGAATCAGATCCACTCCGATAGCCGCTTTAAAATGTGTGGGACAATTTATGAATTCACCAATGCCCTAAAAGAAGATGTGGGCTTATTTATGTGCTGCAAAATGCTGTTGGCATCATAAAAATCAGAGGACCACTCATTTTTGCACCTACAATTGTTAAGAATCGCCCTCTTCTTCCTTGCCTTGTCTTAATCATGGCTTTGTGGTGTGCTTCGCTTACCTAACTCCTGCCCCCTTAAGCTCCAAAGTCACAAATACACAGTTTCCTCATGACCATTTAGCACAATTTATGCACTTTCCCCTAAATGTGAGCACATTCCTTCAGGTGGAACGAGCTCCTGGGTTATAGTCTTTGTTTATTATAAAAACCCTGACAACCGATAGCTCTCCATAATAAGTTTTCCTGTGCTGATCATTAATCCAAGTAAGAGAAAGAATGATTGTAGGCGGGCTCAGGCTATGACATGGTGGCATGATAATTGTTCTTTGTGCTTGTGTTTGTGAATAGAGTAGCCGGAGGTTAAGAATGACGTTGGTGCTACCCACACTGTGTCAGTGACGGTCGTGCACAGTGTGAGGAGGGCTGAAGGGGTGAATTTAAAATACGCTCAAAAAAGTAACCACGAAATGTATACGATTGAGGGCAAAACACACACGAAGACTTTGTATTCTTTCAGTACTGCACAAAGAGAACTGAAATCAAGTTGGGCCAGATCTGAATTCATTTCGAGACTTGAGGTTAGGCGGGTAGGAAAGAAGATTGTGAAGTATGTGAGACTGTTTGGTCTTTGCATCATGAATGACTCATAAAATTGTTCCAGAGTAAGAGCAGATAAAGCTTTAGGACAACGAGCTAATGACGTCTAATAAGCTGTTCTTTCTCTTCGTGTTGGTCCTCCTGACCTGTAATTTTATGTCAAGCTCATCCCTGCAGATGCAAGACATACAGTGCTTGACCCCATTCAAACAAATAATTCCCAGTATTTAGAGTATAATGTATGATACAGTTCTTTAACCAATTATAATCAGAAATGTTTTTGTGTCTGTGGATCAGTAGTGGTTAATGTTTGTAATATGACATTGCCTTTTGTTGTCTGTCCTGTGCTTTCATTTTGGTGTCATACACTGCTAACATTACCCATTTTCTAAAACTATTTCAGCCATGCTACTACCCTCCTCACTACTACTCCTCCTTGGCCTCCTCACCTGGAGTCCCAGTGCAACATGGGCTGCTAAAGTGATTGTGGTCCCACCCATCATGTTTGAATCACATCTCTACATCTTCAAGACGCTGGCAACGGCTCTACACCAGGAGGGCCATGAGACCCATTTTCTAGTTTCAGAGGGTCGCGAGGTGCCGCCCTCTCCTCACTACCATTTACAGCGCTATCCAGGGATCTTTAACAGCACTACGGCCGACAATTTCCTCCAATCCAAAGTCACCAACATCTTCTCAGGCCGCCTGACATTTCTGGAACTGTTTGACATTCTTGACCACTACTCTCAGAACTGTGATGCTGTTGTTGGCAGTGTTGAAGTAATGAACCGCCTGAAAGAGGCCAAGTTTGACCTGCTGCTAGTGGACCCTAATGAAATGTGCGGTTTTGTGATCGCTCATATCCTGGGTGTGAAATATGCTGTGTTCAGCACAGGCCTGTGGTACCCTGCAGAGGTTGGAGCTCCAGCCCCGTTATCTTACGTACCCGAGTTCAATTCGTTGCTGACAGACCGCATGTCCCTGATGCAGAGAATCACAAACACAGCTGTTTACCTGGTGCAGCGCTTTGGAGTCCATTACATTGCATTACCCAAGTATGACCGGATTATGAAGAAACATGGAGTAAAGCCTCAAGTGGCCATGGCTGACTTGGTGCAGGGCAGCCGGCTGTGGATGCTCTGCACTGACATGGCTCTGGAGTTCCCCAGGCCCACCCTTCCACATGTGGTGTACATTGGGGGCATCCTCACTAAGCCCCCCAGCCCACTGCCACAGGTCAGTACCAAGTAAGACACACAGTTGATATGCACAGGATAAGACAGTCAAGATTTTTAATTTTCTTTTGTGGTATCAAGGTACTTTATCACACTGATTCAAAATCATAAATCAGTCCTGCTCGATGACATGAAACATTTCCCACAATGGCCCACACCCTAAGTTGTTAAAATTCTGATTCGAAACACATGACAAAATGTCTGATGATTGACAAATTTTCAGGCATGTCATTTCATGCTAATAAGTATACTTTACATCAGCATTACTACAAAGTCAGAGTTCTTGTTTGAATGAATGCTTAAGCCACTGGAGACTGAAGCACTGCAATACAATGGGTAATTCACTGTACCAGAGTTTGACTTTGCCATTATGCAAATGTGTGGCTTCACAGGCAGGATGGAGAGCCATATTGTTCCTCAGGCCCTTTACTGACTTGGGAGAAGTTTATCCGTTTGTGCTCCTATATGGTGCAAGCACTCGCACACTTTATTCTTCATAGTTTTTGTGTTTGTTTTTTTTAGACCATTTGCAACAGTCTTTTTAGATATGGGAATGTTTCGGGTGTTTCCTTTTTCCACGTGTGTGTGTGTGTGTGTAGGTGTGTGTGTGTGTGTGCTCTCTGTGTTCGCCCTAAAGGATCTCAAGAGATTTAACATAAATGAAGTAGTAAGAATCTGTTCCTCATTTAGATTTATTTATTTACTTACTTGCTTATTTATTTATTTGACATGAATCTGTTTATTTTTTTGTCAACTGTTTCTGTTTTCTAAGATCAAATAATTGTTCAAATGGTCTTAACAGAATTAACCTTTTCCAAAAGTGATAATGACGAATTAATGTGCAGATTGTATTCTCAATTAATAATTTTGTTTGTAAGATTTTTGAAAATAGCAACAATTTCTCAAATCCTGTTTTGTTTTGGAAAACCCAAATATATTCAGCTATCTTTTGCGTATGTCTGAGAAAAAATATTAAATTCTCACATTGAGGAGCGTAACCAAGAAATTACTGGCATTTTTACTTAAAAACATGACTAAAATGATTATTTTAAGTTGAAAATAGTTGCAAGCAGTTGTTGCAAGCCATCATTTGTTACATTCGTAAAGATTTAGCTGCAGCATTTATGTTGAATCTCACTGTCGGTTCACTCGTATCAAATTCTCGTATTTCTGTTAATTGGCTCGTCTGTCCGGTTTCTCATCTTGTCATGTTATTTCCTTCCTACTGTCCTCACAGTCTGACCACTACTTTTTGTATCGACCCTTGCTTGTCCCCATTGTCTATTTAATCACTCGGTATATCTTATTAGCACGTCCTGCCACAAAGCGAGCCTTTATAGACGGGACTGGGGTGAGGATGGGTTTGGGTTGAATGGACATGGTGGATTTTTAGCAGAGAGGGAGGAGATTCATGGAGAGCAGAGGCGGGTAGTGATGGGGGTCCATCCAGCGTTTGGACACTGAGAGCGCGGGCCGTTGGTATCTGCTGCGGGGGGTTTTAGGAATGCCACTCCAGCCAATAGGGAGCATTGTGCTGTGTTGTGTGGAGGGAGTTATAATGGAAGTGAAGGGAGAACGAGGTCATTGTTCTGGGCAGAACTCTGGGGACACTGAGACTCTTTTATGGGGTCACTGAGGCTGCGTTGTAGGGACAGTAGGGCTGTGCTGCTGGGACACAGAGCCCAGTGTGCCCCTGAGGTTGGTCAGTGCCAGGGCCGACCTTAGCTGCTGCAGCTGGACCATTGGCCTCCTCACTCTACTTGTCCTGCGCTCCTGTTACTCCAACATGGCTGCTCTGACCAGTCCTTAGCTACTGTTAGGCGGTGAATCCTCACTTAACATTTTGCAATAAGTATTTTAGTGTACAGCGCACTGCTTACATCCCTAATGCGCATGTACACACACTCAAATACAAAATGCCCCTGTTCTGTCAAACAAAACTGCAAAAGCACTTTTGATTCAGTAATGGCAGGTTATCCAACAGTGCTACATTACTGCAGGTTTCTAGACGCAGGTTCAGTGGGTAATTCGGATAACTTCTGAGAGTACATTCTCATCTCTTGCTTGCAGGAATAGGGCCCTGGAGGAGGAGGATACTACTGCTTTCATTTTTCTAAAGGCCTGTCATGTCACTAGTTTTCATCACCTCAGAGTTGCTGTCGTCTGGTAGAAAGAAGTGCATATTGCAGATCTCTTCCTTTTGTTGTAACTGCAGTGCTGACATTTTAAATATTCCAGCAAAGTTTTATTGATATATAATATCAAAAAAAAGACAGCATTGAAAAAAAAAGTGTTATATTTAATAAGGACCTTATGTTAAACATTTAAACAGCGCTCATAAGGTCTCCATTGAAGATAGTTACTGTTGTCTTCATAACTGTGTAACCAAACTGTGATGAGCTAACCTGCATTGGCCTCATTGAGATATTACTGTATTTGCCAGTTTCAAACTTGTAAATACTGTTCATGTCGAAGCAGTAATTATGACTTGGAGCTCTGAAAAATACGATGTTGCTTTAAAAAAAAAAAAAAAAAGGAATTTGTAAAAACAAGCCAGCACGGACACTTTGCCTCAGCTCAGTGCCTGTTTCGTGATAACTGTACCTCAGCTTGATGTCAGGTTGGTCAACACTCATGATTTCACTCTAGTGCATGACCAACCGTAGGACTGGGTGTGGTTTTTAGTAAAAAAAATTGTTGAAACGAAAACTGCTACTTGTTGATTACTCAGACATTGTTTTGTGTGTGCAGCTGTGGCTCGGGTAGTGTACTGAGTTGTCCACTAAAAGCAGTGGTTGGTGATGTGACCCCTTGATCCCCAATTTAAGATGGAGAACTCCATGTAGCTGTTGATGGCATTTGAGCACCTTGCATGGCAGCTCCACCACCACTGATGTTTGTGTGAATGAGGAACTCATTGTAAAGCACTCAGTGGAACCCAGCTGAGGTTGAAAGGTGCTATGTAAGTGCACACCATTTACCATTCAAGAGAGACATGCTGCTGTTAGGCTTTCTTTGAGCAAAAGAATTTCTTTTATCTCCATTATATAGAGGTGCAGGAGAACTGTTAGATATATCAAAACCTTGCACAAGCAAAACTGACAAGATATTGCTTGTGCTGATTTATGTGGACTGAGCCTTTATATGACCAAACTATGATGCAGACTTAGATAAGAATGTGTTGCAATATGCTTGTGTTATGAATGTTTTTATTGAATGCTACTATTGTTGGTAGTTTAATGCTTTGTTGATTATCACTAATGTTTGAGTTTTTTTCTTCACTTCATAGAGCAGGATTTGTATGGTTGAATTGTTTTTATATTTGTTGATTTACCAAGGCCATGCACACCCAGATACATACATGAACAGAGCTTGTGCTGTGCCGATCTCTTCGGAAAGCAGACTTCAGTTGCATTTTATGATGCACAATTTATTTGTTGGAGAACAAGGAGCAAAAAAAAATGGGAGTTTTTTGTGAAATAAGGTTAACTAGGAAAAAAAATCATATTTTTGTAGACGATCAAAACTAGCCCCTAATAAACAATATGGGCTTTTACGATAAAAATTTCAGGATTTGAATTTATGTTTCTATAATCTGCACCAGCTGGAATGCAGTGATGACAGAATGAACTTTGTATGCTTGTCCACATAATCATATTATTGGTTTATGGTCCGAGAGCCTTTCAGCTTATCTGCGTTGTAACATTGGTATTCATTATTCTAACATTATTCAATGTTTTCAGTGTACTGCATTGTCATTTATGTGACAAAATTCCGTGGGTTTTATGACTCATCATCCCACAATAATCTTTAAACCTGTAAATCATGCAGAACATGGTTTTGATATAAGCTCACCTGATTTACGACCATAAACGTTATCGTCACGTAGGCGTGGCAATAAAGCATAAAAGATAGATGTCGTGTACAAAGTTTATATGAAGGTGCTGTTTTATTGTTATCATGTATTTATTTTCAAAGGAGTGGAATAATCTGATGAAGATGTTAAAATGCAGTCATATACATTGTGGGTCATTTGACTGATTGCAACAGTTGGGAGGGAGAACTTTAAAAAAAAAAAAAAAAAAAGGAACCATAGGAATTACAATACAACTCAGGCCTAAAATTGCGTAGTTGTGTTGCATAGTACTGTTACACTTGTTGTTTCACAGGCATTCAGCCTCTATGAAGTGTATTTTATAGCTCTTACAGTGTTTTTCTTTTTTTTTTTTTCATATTCCCACAGGATTTTGAGGCATGGGTGAATGACACAGCGGAGCATGGCTTTGTGGTCGTGTCATTTGGAGCTGGCGTCAAGTACCTTTCCCATGACATTGCTCACAAACTGGCAGGAGCCCTCGCCAGGCTGCCCCAGCGTGTCATCTGGAGGTAACGTACTTCCGCTCATGCACAGCTGTCACTGTGACTGATGTGAACAGGACTTTCTAAAGTTGTGAGCCTCATGTTACCGACAATCCTCCACTCAGCACTCAGGGGGCTTTGAATGTTGCAGGACAGAGTATGTTTGTGATATTTTTTTATGTGGACCCCCAGCTCTATAATACTGCCATAGCACATTGTATCATAAATACAACACATTGTTTCCCTGAGGCAGGCTGCCTCTAGAGGTCAAAGTCCATCCTCACCTCACATTAGCTCCAGGCTGTTTTCTGAGGTTATCTAGTTGATCAAACAGAAATAAGTACTGGATCCTGCTCTCCAGACACTCTGTTCCTTCCTCTGCATAACTTGCAGAAGCTAACGACGAAGACTTCACATTTTAATAGTGAAAATACTTCTGCAATTTTCATATAATTTGGCTAAGTCACAAAATCAGACGTGATGTATCCTGAATGTCTGAATACTTTTTGTGTCTCGCTCATAAACGTACAGATAAATACCTACGTGTGACTGTCCTGTTCGCTACACAGGTCGCGCAATGTCACATTAATTTGTTATAGCCATGTGACAGGCAAAGTGCATCTGTGATAGGGACAGCAGAGTTGCTGCAGTATCTGTGCAGGTGTCTGCACTAGGGTGTGAATGCAAATGTGGATGACTATAGCATGACTTATTAGTAAGAGCTCCTTTGCAACGAGTTATCTAAAATGTTTTTGCTTTCTCAATGAGAAGAAAAAGGCATGATTAATACCTAATCTTTTTGCAATCATTTACAGCACCCCGAGGCAATGTCCTGCTAACTCTGACCTGAGTAGCAAATGCTAAAAATAAAGGACAGAAAGTTAGACTGATAAGAAGACAGGAAAAGAGTAAAGGCTAGTTTCACAACACTTTCAAATTCCACCCGTGAACCTGGTAATCCTTAACTCTTATCTCAATCTTTGTAGGCATTTGTGATTCATTGACAACATTGAGTGGTGCTGCTCTTGTCATTGTGGTCCCATATATGTTTATAGAATAGTGAATTAGTCAGCCAAAGTAAGTTGTTATATCTACTCTGTAATACAGATTGCAGGGTCATAGCCCTTTACTGCTGTACATAAATACATTCTGTTCCCCAAATCTGACTTTCTAAACGTGTTTGATGTAGCTGGGTTCATACAGAAGTTGGTGGCTGTTGTATAAGGTTTTCATTCGTACAAACACAGAACACAGTTTACAGTAATGACACAACTGACAAAATGGCCAAGTAACCTTTCATTAGGTGTCTGTGCCAAAATAATTACAGTGTTTGTTTTTTTTTTCCAAGTGCAGTTTTTTTTTTTTTTTTTTTTTAGTTTTCGATCTAAGATGTGACTTTTGCCTTTGGTTTGTTTTTCAAACTACTGGTGAGGTCCTGAGAGTTTTTATTTAGTATTATTTCATTCTATTGAAGTTTAAGAAACTTTAAAATGTTCTCGTTGACCACACAGAGATTAAATACTGTTGACAGTGTCTGGTTCAGTTAATACATTACCCGTTGACTCGTAGCAACAATGATATCACTATTGTTCCCACAATTGTCTCACAATGCTTTGGGGGGAGGGGGCAATGTTCCCCGTTGACCCCACAAGCAAGAATAGTGTTCAGAGTTACTCATCGTTAGACAAGCTGCTCTTCTGAGCTTAAAGAAGAGTGTATGTTGTTGGTGATGTCTGTGGATATAACATAAAATAATCAAGAAATTAGAAGAGAGAATTCCACGTTTGGTTGTTATCTTCAGAAGAATTACAATGAAATAGACAAACTTTGATAATTTCCTAATCAGAGGTGGAAATTGTGCATTCCTTGTAAAGATGACACTAATTTCACAGATATTTGTAAAGCAAAGGAAGATAAATATCAAAGCTCAAGGTGGATTATGGCTCGCTTTATCACAAGCATAATAAACTCTTTCCGTGGTCAGCCTGGTTATTTAGTAAAGCCTCATACTGATATATGCCTTAATAAAAATAAGGTAGTTGAGGTGTCTGGCTGCTTTTCTTTAATTTAGGTGTTGAAGGGGTCGTTTATAGCGGAGGGGACTGAGGATGCATGAGGTATGACCTTCTCAGCAACCTAGCATGCTAAGAACAGGGTTTAATAGTAGGAAGTCACAGTTGTACAGACTTCAAGAGGGAAGACAAGGGGCTGGATGAAGTGCCTGGCAGGACCTCAGAGATTCAGATTGTTGCAGCAGTTTCTGCTTGGAATTGGATGGGTGTCAACAAGCTTGTCATAGCTTTTGGTTCCCTGATTTCCCTTCATAGGAAAATGACACTCACCGCTATCTGACCAGGTCTACATGTGAAGTCCAACATTGATTGGAAACTTGTCGGTCTTTAAGCCCCAAGACTTGGAATGTGACATTGTATGGTGATGTGGCTTTCAGTGGCCCTTTCCGAACGAAGAGCATAGAAAAGGAAGAGGACTGATGAGAGGGACAAGGACCAAGCCAAATGAATCGTGTCATTGATAATTGGCTCCATGAATGTAGGCTTTGATAGGCAGGACAGTGAATTGGTGCTTTGTTGAAGAGAGAAAGAGAGATGAAAGGGTTTGGGTTAGGGAGGGAAGCAGACGGAGATGGACAGATGGGGGTCGTAATGTAGCATGCATATGCATTGTGTGTGGAAATGCTTCCCCACACACAAGACAAGACATCAGCACACACATATATAACAGTGTACGCATTCACCGTAACCAGTATAAGACAGAGGGTTAAAACCTAGATGTCTATGATTAACAAGCAAAGCCCTTCTGCTATTGGCTTGTTGTTTAAGTAAAGGAGATCGACTTTAAATTCCTATTTGTGTATCTCATGTGTACTGAATACAAACAGTGCATCCTCACTAATACACTAGGCACACAGCTAAAAACTAAAAACTACAGCCTGACCGATATTAGATTTTTGGGGCAGATAAAGTATAAAAAAAAGATTGATATTGATATATTGACTGATTGCATACATATGTGTGTTGAATTATATCTCTTAGCTCTTACAAACGAGTTTGCATTGCATATTCTATTCAGAATTCTATTCCAAATAGCCTAATACTCAATAACTGTGATTTTTTTTTTTTTTAATATATAGGTATGTCTAAAAATGACAAAGGTCGTAATCTCTTGTCTGTGAAGCTAACTAAGAAACTTATGCTTCAGATTTGTTTCAAACCATTATTTCTGTGAATTTAACTACAATCAGAAACTTTTTTTTAATTGCCTATTTCACCCTAAGCAAAATATTGCTGTGAATGTATAATTGTCACAAACAGTAACTCATGGTTCTTTACTGCTGAGTCAAGATATGAATAGTGCCTCTGCTACAAGAGGAAACTTTGTATGTATCTGGTAGAAAACCAGACTTTTAAACTTTATCAATCGTAAATGCAGTGACTAGAGTTGTTCGGTTTAGTGGGAGTATCAAAGCGTGAGCATTGAACAGTTTGTTTATGTAGGTTAGCATTAGTTGGACTCCTGGGGCCTCATTTATCATTAGTGCGTACGCACAGATATGTGCGTAGAGCATGTATACGAACATTCCCACGCAAAGTATGGAATTTATCAACTTGTCCTTATACTTGGGAATGTGCGTAAATATACGCACATAATCTAGCGGTAGAATAGTGAAACTACAAATAGAAAGCATTCAGGGATTGTGACCACTGGCATATTCCAGCGTAAGATTGGAGACATATGCGGCATTTCCCAGCCATCACTGAACAGGATCATGCCGGCAGTGTTGGATGCCATAACTCCCCTGGCCCCAGCCTACATCCAGTTCCCTTACAGCCATCACCAACGAGCCCAAATCAAACGGGGACTTAACGCCGTCGCTGGATTCCCAAACATAAGTGGAACCATCGACTGCGCCCACAACGCAATCAAAGCAACCATCACTAATGAATTTAATTTAGTAAATAGAGAAGGGTTTCATTCAATCAATGTACAAATAATTTGCGATGCGCATTTGTCGCTATCCAACATTGTTGCCCGGTGGCCTGGAGGAATGCATGAGTCATTCATTGAGCAGAACAGCTCTGTGGCTGTGCATCTCCAAGCAGGAGCTGTTGAAGATGGCTGGCTTGTTGGTGAGTGTTACAGAGTATGAAAGTATTTTAGCTGGACTTAGTGTGGTTATCTCATCTGGAGTGATCAGGGTTATCCGCTGGGTGAACGTTCTGTATTAATTCGTCGTCCTCCAGTTGCAGTCATTTCTCTTTTATGGGCTGTGATGCATATTTTTGGCACTGAGCTTACTGTCAAACCAGTTTTTTAAAAAGAAATTCTGCTGGCGATCTGTCCTCTGACTCAACAGAAATAACTGCCGTGGTTGTCTTGTCCTATGCAGCATTTTTTCTTTTGCTGCTTATCCCAACATTTAATGCACCAAACAATATTTTCTGGTTTGCTTTAACCTGGCTGACAAGTACCTCGATTTCAGTTTCAGAGAAGTTCCTCTTTTTTGCCCTTTTTGCCACGATGATGACGACAGGTGATGAAAAAATAAATCTTCACTTGCTTTAAAAAGAGGCGTGTTGTTGCCGTATATGGTGATTTGGAGGCATTCCTGAAGGCAACGTGCATGAGCACGGAGGTTAAGAACAAGTGGGATTTATCAACACTTATTTGTGTACGACGTACGTGCGCACGTTTTCTAAACACATTTTTTTGTACTTACGCACACTCTAAATTTCATTCGTACAACAGAATTTAGAAGCTTTTCTACGCACTGATGATAAATGAGGCCCCTGGTGTTGTTATATTGCATGGTGGGAAAGGGCTTAAATGCTGACGCATTAGTTTCCCCTCACCTGACAAGCTATAACAGAAGCAGCAAATAAAGCAGTTAGTGATGGTTGTTACAGGAGAACAAAAGATGGAGAAGTCATTTATTACTTTCTGACACTGAATCTTAGTTGGGACAACGTAGCGTGAAATCAACAACGAAGACACTGAATTGTAGTTTACTGACCTGCCGAGTTAGTAGGAAGTGATGTTCTGATGCCAACCTTTCCATCTGCTATTAAACTGACTTGACTGATAAACTATAGCTGGCCAGCAAACAGATGTTGCACAAGTGACCTGACCCTGTTATTATGGGGACAGGTTATGTTACAGTCATTAAAAACTGGAAAATAGTGGTGTTGCTAACTTTCCAGTGTTGTGTTTCACCAACTAGTTAGTTGCTTACTCTGAAGACACTGCTTTACTCCATCGTCTGCTCAGCTGGGATGTATTCTCTGCTTGCTGCATGTGCTGCTTAGTGTTAAACAGTGCACTCTGCTAGAAAAACTATGTGATTGAAGAGGAAAAAATCCCACCGAGCCAGGTGGGGTGAGTAGGGAGGTGGCTCCAGCACGGCGATGTTCTTCTCAGTCAGGAACTGTCGGATGCTCAGGGCATTGTGAGCAGACGTGCTGGTTGATTGTCTGAAGGGGAAAACCTTGTAGTTTGTAGTTTGGGTTTGAAATATATCTCTCGTGACACCAGTCCTGGAACTTTTCTGGTACAACTCATATTTTCCCATACCAATACATTTGTGATGCGTCAAAATTGTAGGGTCAATAAACAATCAGGCTCTGCGGATTAGGATTTGTGATTTGAAGTTTGAAAACAGCATTAGTTAAAAGTTTAAATAACAGTGATTACAAATCAGAAAAAAGGGATGAGACAACATAAACAATAGCAATATGAAAGGTGTAGCAACGTGATCATACAGAAACAACAATGAGAAAGCTGAATACAAAAGGGCGTGGTTAAGCACATTAGTCACATTCTCCCTCATGTCAAGAAGACAGGTTAGGTCAGACAGGGAAATATAAACAGGAAGTAAAATACATACACATACAAATAGAGGTCACAAAAAATATATAGTTTTTGTGATTTATGAAGTCCAGTTGCACTTATAATGTTGCATTAGCGCTATCTTAGCTACATGCAGCTTATTGGGAAATACACCTCTCCATTTAATTTTTATTTATTTATTTATTGTTTTTGTATTAAACTTACTTACATGAGGTTTTGAGGCAGCCAGTGGAGACATCAGAGAATTATTCATTCAGGTACAGAAATTAGATATGATGTGTCAGTTAGTGGGTGGATTTTATTCATCCTTATCAAACAATAAAATGTGTTTATATAATTCAAACAAAGGGCTGGTCCTAATATCAGCATATACTCATTCTCCAAACCTGCATCCGTGTGAAGAGGTTGGCATCTGGTGTATAAGGTCTTCACTGTATAAACAGTTTGGTAGAAAGTGTTAATTAGTGAGCTTTAAAAGGTACTGGTTGTTGGGTTTTGTTACCCTTTGCTTCTATTGTGTTTGCCACGCTAAGCTGACTCTAGTTTTATATTTACTCTACAGGCTTAGGACTGTTTCTAATCTTTTCACTGAACTTTGTAGGAAAGATAATAAGGGCATGAAAAATGTCAAAGCATTCCTTTTGAAAAAGGAGTTGATAAAAAATACCTGTCAGTATTTGTTTGGTCACAGGTCTGACAAAAGACTTGGGCTTTGTCCACAATCAAATCCTTGCATTGACCTTGCAGCTCCTTGTTTTTTTTTTTAAGAAACAGCTGTATTTTTTGCATATTTATAATATATTTTCTGCTGTAAATGTTGTTTATTGACTTGCCGTACTTATTTTTAATGACCACGTTAATCGTCATTGTTATGCACCACAATACCAGGAAAAATTCTTTGCTCAGACTTGCTTGGTAGTAAAATCAGTTCTAATTTAGATTCTGATTAGCTGCTTTTGAATCACACAATGATTATATTGTGTCTATAAAAGCAGCAGTCCAGATGCAAATTTATCTCTGATTTTGAAATTTAAAAGCCATTGAATTTGTAGCACTAAAATTGGGTATCTGAAATGTCTGCCTCTAAATTAAACTATTTAATCCTAAAGAAACTCATTTTCACTTCTATTTTTAAATTTCGAATCACAAATTCGAGGTTCTACAATTGAAATCTTATCTATTCAAGTTACTAAAATTCAGATCTCAAAATTTGGTGTTAAAGAATTAGATCTGTAATTTCAGTGCAAAAAAAATGTAAATGCTAGAAATTCTATCGCTTTTAAATTCCAAAATCTTGGTGAGATAGATTTGCTTTCATACAGCAGGTATCTGTTGCAGTCTTAGTTGATAATGCAAAACGAAAACGATCAGTATGTGTTCAAACTTTCTGTTAACTGCTGGCTATTGATTGATTTATTGAGTTTCCATTATACAGAGAGTAGTTAATGGGTAAACAAGGGGGTAAATTTGGACACAGCTTAAAAAAAATAAACTTTAACTGCAATGAAACTGTGGAAGTGGACTTTTGTAGTAGCAACAGCATTCAACTAAAACACTACGTCATTAATAATTAAATATAAACATGTCAAGAGTGCTATATGTACACTTTTATACCATTATCAGCAGTAACAACACTTCAGGAGTAAATATGACCTTTTGTGCGACTACTTAAGGTTCAATTGGATGTTCATGCACGGTGATGATATGCTCTGCTCAAAACTGGCGTTGTCTTTGTCAACATTTCTTGTTGGCATCTTTCATTGTTCCCCCTTTCCTTTTCTTAGATTTTCTGGCGTTCCACCCAGTAACCTTGGCAACAACACCAAGCTTGTAGATTGGATGCCTCAGAACGACTTATTAGGTAAGTACATTAGCAGGACAATACATAACGTGTACCTTCAGTCTGACTGGCTTAGTGAATTTATTGTATTGTATTGCTCCATACAACTGAAGTGCAGTTAACGGCACTTGCAAAACCCTTCAGATGAATTCAGATACCTTACCTGAAACTTCTCATAGTGCTGGTTCATGGCATGTTTTGACACAAAGTTCATCCCGGGAGTTTATACAGATGCTTTTCATACTACAGGTGTGGCCGACTAGGTTTTGTGCGGTGTGGGTTCCTCCCATACCTACTTATTAACCATAGTAATGGGTGACGTGATTGTGTAAGCCATTTTGTGCCTCTCAGGAATGAGGAATGTGTAACAACATTCAAATGTTGACACCTAGCATTGTATTCTGTGATAGTGGAATAGCACTTTTGTTAGCAAAGACTGCAAATACTGCAATGTTCTGCCTGTCTGACTTCTTGCTAAGTCCATAAGAGGCATTTGAAAGGAAACAAAGCAATAAAACTTCCCTACTAAAGTCTCTTTTCTTATGTTATTGTGTCCTGTCTCACCACAGTAAGCACCACACCCAATTCTTTCAAAATTCAGTTTGACTTTGAAACTGTGCACATGGATATATATAGCACCTTCACTGAGAGGAAAATTCAAGTCTACTGTGTTTAAATAAATTACACCTTTTAAAATCATTACAATAGGTTTAAAGAAAGTAAAGCTTTTGCAGAGACATTCCTTCCTTAATAGATGCACTGTAATTTGATCAGTTTTCTATTTAAATGATGCGTATCTTGAAGCACAGAGCAACACTGAGCGCTGCTGTGTGTCGACCATATAATCTGTAGAATATTCAGAAAAACTAACCCAGTGAATGTGCCTTGTCAGAAATGACTAATGAACACAATACCTAACATGCCAAAACCTACCTCATGCTTGCTGTCATCTAGGTCATGCTAACACAAGGGCCTTCCTGAGCCATGGGGGTCTGAACAGCATCTACGAGGCCATGTATCATGGGGTGCCGGTGGTTGGTGTGCCCCTGTTTGGCGACCACTATGACACCATGACCCGTGTGGCAGCCAAAGGAATGGGCATCATGATACACTGGAAATACATGACGGAGGAAGACCTCTTCATAGCCCTGACCAGCGTCATCAAGGACACCAGGTTAGATTGGTCTTATGCTGTTCAACCACAACATTAAAACCACCTGCCTGAGAAAGTATCTTTAATCCATTGGGGAATGGACACTGGACCTCTTGGGTGTCCAGAATATTGGCAGCAATTTTTTTGGGGTCTTGAGGGTTGTAGGGTGGTGTTTCAATGGATTAGGCCTGTTCTGGTGCATCCCACTGATGTTTACTTACATTGGGATCTGGGGCGTTTGAAAGGCCGGGTCAGAACCTTGGGCTCTTTGTTGTGTTCCTTGAGCCTTTCCCGAGCAGTCTTTGGGATGTGGCATTCCGCATTATCAGGCTGTGGGAAGCCGCTGCCGTCGGTGAGTGATCTTGCCAATGGGTGGTGTGCTTGGTCTGCAACAACGTTTAGGTGGGTGGCAGATGTCAAAGAAGCATCCATATGAAGCCCAGGACACAAGGTTTACCAGCATGATGTTGTATTGTAGAGAGATAAAATTGTTCACTAAAGCTGTCAGAGTTATGATGTTGTGGCTGATTGGTGAATGCACATACATATGCTTTGTGTATTAGTGTTATTGTTTGTCAGTGCCCTCTGGTGACTATTTATGGCATCACTACTCTTTAAATTCATGGTGCATACAATATTCTGTTTTTCTCTCCCACTTTTTCATACTTGGCTTTACTCTGATGTTATTGTACCTGCAAAGCTAGCTTATGAAGGCCTAAATCCTTTGTCTTCGCCTTGTGTCTTACTACTTAGATACCGCCAGCAAGCACGTCTTCTCTCCAACATTCACAAAGATCAACCAGGCCACCCTGTGGACAGGGCCGTTTATTGGATCAGCTATATCCTCCGTCACAACGGTGCCAACCACCTGCGCTCATCTGTATACGAGGTGTCCCCCTACCAGTACTTCCTGCTGGATGTGATTTTTACTGTAGGGGCTACCTTGGCTCTAACAGGCCTTGCCCTGCAGCGGTTGGTACGATTGCTGAGGGGGAAGGTCGGGGACCACAGCAGAGGAGGTAACATCAGGGATGATGGTAACATGGCCAATGGACATTGCCATAGCGAGAGCATGGCCAATGGGAAACACAAACGCAATGGCTCCTTGAAAAACGAGAAGAAGATAAATTAATGTTCTGAGTGGCAAAGAGGGACGAGGAAGAAGTTGCCCTAAGGACTCAGCTCTAGGTTTGGTTAAGTGGTTTTATGAAAGCTTGGAAAGGAAGCTGTTCTTAGGTCTGCGTCAAGAGGCAACTGCTACTCAGAGCATGGAAGAGGCTGTAGGAGGATACACAATGCATCGTGTGAGGACAGAGCAAAGCATCGGGTGCTCAAAATCTGTGTGTGTGTGTGCGTGTGTGTGAATGTGTATGTGTGCAATAAGGCGAATTTAACAAAGACTCTTAACAGCAGCTACAGCAATACAACACTAAATTTGAATGTCTTTGAGGATGAAATACAGGAAAGACACATTGGAAGAAGTCGTTTCAGCATGTGCATCTTCGCTCCTGCATGTTCTCTTTGGTCTTCCTGCCTTCCTGTGCAATGGAAGGATCACGAAGAGGGGAAATCTTGAGCGCCAACCCCTCATCCTCAGAACAAAACAAGAAAACAAACAGCTTTTGAAATATTTCGGTTTTAATGTTTTTAACTGCAATCTCCAAGTGTCTGGTAAACTGTAAATAGAGCATAAATCTATTTATTACTGTACAAAGACATTTTAAGGATGGATCTTTTTAACCTATCTTATTTTTAATTTATTTCATATATAAGTGGTGTGAAAATATGATAGTAGATTGACACTCCCTAGTCTAAGGTCACATCTGCACAACATTGCGTCCTTCACATTCGAGAAACAAACGAAACAAAAACTGATAGCAGTCGTCATTGTAAGCATGCACAGGTCTGTGCTTTCTGCACTTGCATTATCCACAGTATTCACTGTGGTCTTCAGACTGATCAGTATGAAAATGCGCAATTTTCCCTTTTCACATGGTAGTGCCAACTTGTGACTGCACTTAGCTGTGCAGCGTCCCCATTGTCTCCTGACTGACTTTTGTTCTGGTGGACAATAACTCTGCTGAACTCTGTTTGGCTTATCCGTGTGAAAAGGTGATTATGTAAAATTGAAAAGATACAGCAATGATAACTACTGAGGATACTATGGATAGGCAGAGCCAGATCAGAAATGTGCTCTAGCTCATCCAGACAGGTGATAAGGGATGAGTCAGAGCATTATTGATTTATGATTACTTGCTTCGTCAGTCCCATATCTTAATTCTACACCCCTCATCTATTTATTGCATAGTAAAGAATAATCACCTAATCGCCATTTTCAGTGCTACACTCAACTTTATACTTCATTCATAATTTATTTGTTAATTATTTGTTAATAAATGCACTAACTCTAACATGTGTTCCAAATACTAGTTTAAATGATACTATTCAGGTAGGAATTCCCAATTCAGTGCTTTACTTCTGTATATCTGTTTGCTGTTAAAGTTCATGTACAAACTAGGCACACCTTATGTAATTATATTAATTCTGAGTGTGATTGATTCACATTCCGTATGTGGCCTTTTATAATGCAACTATATGTGTATACAGTATGCTTGAATACCGATGTGCATGTGTGTGCTTGTTGTTTCAGTGCTTGAGTGTTTTGGATCATTATACAGCAATAGACCAACTGTATGGGTGACACAAAGCAGATGTGGTATGTCTTTATCCACGGAGAGTCATGTAAAAATAATTACTGACTTCTTAGTTCTGTGAAGTTAAATCGTATGCCCAAAAATATGCAAAGGATTCCGTCTGTTCTTTTCTTTCAGTGAGACTGAAGTTGCCTTCCGTGACTTCTCTATCATCATTATTTTACTCGTGTTTCTTGGCCAGCATTAAGAAGCTGTGTCTGTTCATTTTAAATGCAGATGAGTGGATGAGGACGGCTGTAAGAAGAGAAAAAGAATGCTATAGTTCCGACAATAAAGGTGAATCCCGGTACTTTTACATTGAATAGTAATGTGTCAAAGTGACACTGATCCCCGCAGTGAAATTCTCTTTTCTTAAACCCCCGTCAGTGAGATCAAAGTACAAGGCGAGCTGGAAGAGTATCTTTAGAGTTTGTGGGGATTCAGTATCTTGCTAATGGATATTTCAGAAGGGCAGGTGCTCATGGACATGGGACATGAAAATCTCATGAACAAGAGACCTCCAGCTGGGTGATTTATCAAACCGCCTCACATACTGTATTTTCTGTCACTGTTTTTGCGGAGAGGACCAGACATCTACTTTTTAAAGTTGCAAATTGCAATAGTATTTTTGGCATCCTAGCAAAAAGACTGTTTACCAACTTAATAAAGCCTCATGCACAGCCAAAAACAGCAATGTAAATGTAAAGGACACAGAGGAAATGTTCACTTAACCAGGAAAAGTTGTTGAAAATTTAACATCCAAAATCTTGATGATAATTTAGAAAAAGTTTCATGATCTTCCTTTCTCTGTGAGCTACCGATATACTTGCACAGCCCAACCCAGCCCTGCTGAAAACAGAGACTGTTATACTTGAATCGTCATCTTTATCATCATCAATAACAACATCAGGTGCTGGGCATGGTAGGTGGGCCTGCAGGTGCTACATAAGCTATGAACAGAGAAAAAAAAAACATTTGAGAACATATATCTTCTTTTTTTTTATTTTATTTTTTTTTCAGTATTAATAATAATGTAGTACAGAGGTAAATACCCATCCTTTAATTCTCTAATGTTTTTGTACATATCCTGCAGTCTGACATGTCTCTGTTCCTGTGGTGTTAGTATCTCATCAGCTTGATCACCTTTTGTTCTGTCTTCAATAGAACAAAAGGTGCTTGTTGCTTGTTCCACTCTGTGACTCACTCTTTCCTTCCTAGTGTTTTCTGCAGTCTTTGTATTCTCGTCGTTTTCTGCCTCTTTCCACACAAATATTAGCCGTCTCTACTCACTTTATTTAAATTTTTATTATACTTTAATTTCAAAATGACAAAGCCCTCACTTTTTCTGTCATGTGTGTCTTTGTTGTAAATAGAATGTAAACAAAATACTAATGCTGAATAAAAATTGCATATTTTGTTTGCAGAAAATGATTGAAACTTTTTTTCTCAAACACTGACTGTGACATATTTTATTATCTTTAGTTTGATGTGGTTTTTGAAATATCTGCTCTCACTACCACTGTACAGCGATATTGGACAGACAAATACATGCAGTCCATGTTTTTGAGACCTGACAAGGCTGATGTTGATTACAGCAGCTGATGCTGCCAGTCTCCGTTTGATAGGGGATGTATAGGCTTTCTGTCGGGAATTGTTACCAAGCAGCAAGAGGGTTTTGTAGGTATCAAATGGTAGAATCATCTAAAGTAGCAAACTGCACACACACACATGCACACAAGTCGGGTGGATAGATAGGGTTATCTAATGCTGTATGCTCGTGCTGAGTGAAGCTGGGGTAACAAAACACCCAGCCTGGTACCCTACCTCGCTCACCGGCCCTGTTAATTATTCACTCTGCCTGCAGGGGCCCGCAGACCTCACACACACACACACACACACACAGAGTCAAAAGCATCTGCAGGTATGTTTAATTTACGTTCTTGAAGTTGTTTTCTTTTGTTGTCGCTGGTGGCCAAATGGGGCACTGTTCTGTTAACTGAGACAGGAAGGGGGGAAGAAATGGAGGGCCGGCCTCTGTGGATGAGGAATCTGATATCACAGAAAACACAGTGGGCATCATTCATGACATCGTCCATTCATTCTTAGCCACACCTCCCTCCTCCGACCTTGTAAGTGCCTATTATCTACCTCCACTCTTCACCTCAAAGGACAATCATCAGGAGCAATTAAACACTTTGTGTTCGACTAAGTGGGCTTACAATATGGAGTTCAGAGTCCTCCCTCCTTGAACTATATCTAAGTGATGGATTTGCCAATAGTTTGACAACAGGGTGTGCTCTAATCGTATGCACACTGACATCCAGTCTTTATGTTAAAACAGGATGTTGGATCTGGCTTGTGTATGGTTGTGTGTGGTGGTGTAATGCCTTGGGGTGTGTGCCCGTTTGGAAATTGTTGACTTAGCTCGTATAAGCTTAAATGAATGATGGCTTTCCTTCAGTGTTTATTAATCTCTGTCACACTATATTCCAAGAGCTCTACCTATGGATCTACCCAAAGGCATATAATATTTCTTTGTAAATGGTTTGACAGGATTGAAAGACTTTCCCACCACTAAATCAACCCAGCGCTGACTGACCTTGACAAGATATGTAATAGAAAAAGAGAGAAAGATCCGTCACGATCAATTATTTCAATGAAAAATAATTAACCTGGCAAGATCATTGCACATTCAGAAGCAACCTTCTTTCCTTCTCCGGATACATGATTGACAGCAGTCAGCTATTTTTTATTCATGTACTTATTTATTCATTATTTTATTTGCACTTGACTGTGCTACCATTTGATATGTAGCTTCAGAATTAAATCCAATTTCCACCTGCATTTTATCAATTACAAAAAAGCAGCTTTTATGCCTTGAACAGAGAAAGAACAAATTGTTATGTATTTTGATATATGGCTGGTCTTATTCCAGCATAGTGAGGTGCTACAGTGTGTGATGTATGCACAACATTAAAACCATCTGCTTAAAAACTGTGTAGGTCGCCCTTCGAGCTGCCAAAACAACTTTGAATCATCAGGAAATGAACTTGAGATCTCTGTCCCATGGTGTCTGACACTACCATGGTGGCAGCAGATCCTTTCAGTCCTGCGAGATTTGAGGTAGAGCCTCAGTTCCGGTGTATCCCCCTGACATCTGATTGGATTGAGATGTGGGAAATTTTGAGGCCAACATCTTGGGCTCTTTGTCATGCTCCTCAAGCTGTTCCTAAGTGGTGCTGCTTTTGCCATGAGGGGATGTGCTTGGTCTGCAGCAGTGTTTCGGTGATACATGTCAAAGTAACATCCACATAAATGCCAGGACCAATGGTTTCCCAGCAGAGCATTGCATTACAACAGTATGTCAGAGGTTTTAATGTTGTGGCTGATCTATGTTTTCCCCCTAAAGCTGAAAATCCTCGCTTTTCCTCTGCAAAGTCTAAGCTTGTGAGGGAACAATTATACAGGCCATGTAAGTCTAATGAGCGGACTTGCCATCATCAAAAAGGGAAGACTGAGTTAAAGGCATTACTTTGGCCCTCTTTGTCTTTCATTGACATTCTTTGCCATTTCTTTTCCCAGAGAGAGGCAGATAAGTACGATCAGTCGTGTGTTTCATGATCTTAAAGGTTGGAATCAATAAACCCAAGGACTCCCTCTGCCTGATGAAAAGGTGGTCAGCGTATCTTTTGAGATGGAGATATGTGAAGAAAGCCAAGGAAACTCATTCCTTGCAGGTTCCCCTTCTGTCCAGTAGAGGGTAGTAGTATTCCATATTTAACCACGCCTCATGCTCTCCTCTCTTTCTCCTTCTGTCACTCAGTCTTGTATTTCTGCTGCCCCTCTAACATGACCAACAGCTGATGGACCTGTCAACTAAAGTTCCAACTTTAAAAAAAAAAAAAAAATGATGCAAAAATCTTGCAATAGCTACCATGCCTGTGTGTGTGTGTGTGTGTGTGTGTCTGTGTGGTTTAATGTGTGGGCGGACTGCTATTGTCATTCCGGTCCAGTGTATCAGCAGCTGTAACTCCTTTTAAATCTCCCCCTATCAAAATCTTTGGGCCCGAGCTCTGCGTGACAGATGTAGCCATCGGTGATTGAGGAGAAGCCTTCAACATCAGAGGCCTTCAAGTGCTGCGTGTGTGAGTGTGTGTGTGTGTGTGTGTGCGCGCGTAGGACTTCAAATGAAAGTTAAATGATCCATGTGGAAAAACAGGGTCCCTTCAGCAGCCTCAAAGATAAGATGAAGCCAAAAAAAAGAGAAAAAAAAAAAGAAAAAGAGACGAATGGAGGTAATGAATAATTGCAACAAGCAAATATAATTGGCATGTGCTATACTTGGTGGGCCTTATGTCTGCGCATGCATTTACATGTGTATTTGTTTGCATGCGTGTGTTTGTGCACGTTGGTATTTACGTGCGAGTGTGTGTGTGTCTGTCGGGGTGTTTGCAATAGATGGAGCCCTGTCACCGTGTCACCATGGAGATAAGAGAAGCCTGACAGCACGGGGAGAGAGAATGACAGCTTTTATATCAATCATACTGACTTATCACCGCGTGCGTGTGTGTGTACAAGTGTGTCTGTGCGTTAAGGGGTTAGGAAAGGGTATTAAACTGGCATCAAAAATAAATCAATGTCATGTGGTTTGTATGTCAGCAGCTGTTGTCAGTTTGGCCTCACCTCTCGCCGTAATCTCCAAACTCCAGTGACCACACGTAAAACTCACACACACACACACACACACACACACACACACACACGCTGCTCTGACACACAAACAGACAGATGCCAGTGTGTGTCACCCATCTCTAAGTGCCTGGACAACGCCCAGGAGGAGAGGTTTGGCCAAATGTTATCCTGGCACAAGAATCTACATCTTTTAGCTTTTCTGTGATCTAATTCTCTCCATTTAATTTACTTTCTGCTCCTTTCTATCGCTCTCCTACTCTGAATTTCTCTTCCCTCCTCTCAACTACCCCCCCCCTCCCCCCCCACTACATCTTTCCACTTTCTTTTTTCTCCAACCTCTCTCTCTGTATTTACTTTCGTTCCTCATCTCCAAACCATCGTCCAACCCACAGCCTCAGTGAGTCTGTAAGCTGATGCAGCGTATCTGTGAGGAATTGGGAATTCAATTGGAGAAAATCAGGCTTTTGAGTTTTCAGCCAGATATTTAATTATGGGAGTGAATTATAGCTGTGTCGCTGCGGGGACACAGCAGAGAGGTAATGTGACTAAGTAAACAATAAATAAGCACTAAATAAACATAAAGTCAATGCCATGCTTGATTAGAAACATAACACCTACTGCTGCCCTTGCT